GCTGCATATCATTCTATATCCCATTAGTATGGTATGTAATTCACAGACATGTCGTATCTTTCAGCTACACCCTGACAAGGGTAGCAGTGGCAACGGTGGCGACTCGACAGCTGATTTTGTTGACCTGAAAGAAGCATATGATGTGTTGCGCCGGCCGGCTGATAGGAGAGCCTATGATATGCGAGGATTTGAATATGAGCGGCTGAAATATCAGGATCCGTACTATTCCTATAAACGTCGTCCAAGACGTCCAGAGTAAGTATTTTATCCTAATCATTTTAATGTCGAAACATTAGTTTTGCAAGTTTTAAGTTGGATCTTGCAACATCAAGTTACTGGTTTTTGTCCTTGCTGAAAGTGAACACTTCAAGCTCAACTTATTTGATGCCGCGTTCCCATATTCTCCTGAATGAATTAGCTTAGGGCAAATTTGTCTCCCCCACTTTTCATTGCATGACTCTACAAAGAAGATTCCTCTGCGGAAGATGCAGAGTCATGGGCAGCGATCTTGAATTAGCCAGTATCTAACCGGCACTATTGTAATTGTAATTGTTTATTACACGGGAACCCGTGCGGCATAACAGAATAAAACAACTAGTGAAACTGATACAATTAGTAGGAACACAAACGGATAAAAGGAACACAACATAAAGTGAACGCAACAGAGTGTGAGGATCAAATTAGAGCTCTACAGCGGATCAACATCAGGATGCGAGATACTTTTCCAAAGTGGCTTTAATTCAATTATTACTACCCAGTATTCCGAAAACAGGCCAGTTTTTTCGATCGACTTTTTTCTGCGGGTAGATTGGGCTGAAAATTCGGTCTAGGAGGTTCGACCTCCTGAACAAGCATATCACATCCGCTTGTCCCCCAACCGCCTGACGCCCGCCCCGCATTTGCCGCAGATAAAATTCCTCGGTCACGAAAGCTGTTGAAAGCCTGTATACGGGGAGCTAGTTTACATCTTGAGTACGAAGATGACATCCATTTTTGGTACCAGTGGTAATGGATGACGTTAGGGTCATCTACGCTCTGTTAAGGCTTAAGGAAATCCCTCATTCTCCTCTGCTCAGCCCCAGCAGAGCGCTAAATCGCACTGGAGTCAACACATGAACGCCATATTCGTGAGGGCATTAAGTGAGAAAACTTGTAAGGCCAAATTTTAGGGGCGCCAAATGGCGCCAGATTAAAAAATGAATGTCTTACTCGTAATCAGCACATGGGGTGACCAGTATAGGTCAAGTTTCAGCAACTTTTTTTCGCGTTTTTGGGGTGGCAATGGTTGAGTAGTGCCCTGGAACGTAGATTTTGCACTTATTGAGGAACTATTCTCGTTAGAACGCCAGGCTCGCCTGCCACCTTTTCCATTCTGGTCAGGGCTTGTATGCTATGGCTCAGCGACACTCATACAGTGCGTAACAAAAGTATGTGGACACCTCAAATTTTTGTCCTGCAAAATTGCCTTTGAATTTTGCGATATGAGACCTTTATTGTTGAATTCCTCATAA